TCATCAAAACAAGAAGGCCAACAGCAATAACTATATATAAGGATAAGCGAAATACAAATGTGATAGGGCAATGTAAACAATGAGCAATGGCGAATAAAATAGACTAAGCAATAGAGACAAATGATACGCCAATGCAAACTCTAACACACAAAGATGATCACGGAGTTTGGACCTTCCGTCCTACGTCTCCACTCCTCACTCCTAGGGAGAAATCCACTATCACAACCGGGTTTTTCTACGCTCACCCGAATAACGTTTACACATCACAACTCGGTTTTCTAGTTCACCGAAAACTTTACAACATACACAATTGTAAACACACTTCACACCCTCTAAGTGTTAGCCTAGCCCGTGTCATCTTCCTCAAGTGCTCGCAATTACGACCTACCTCTAGGCTTTACTACCGACGCCACTCCTCTCGGAACCGACCCCGTCTCTCACTAACCACTTCTCTCGGTGTCCAAATGTAATACAATGTGCAACTCACAATTAGGCTCAATTACAATAAAATGTTCTCTAATATGGATGAGAACTTAATGTAAGCTAAATATCACAAATCACAATCCCACAACCCAATATATGATGTATGAAATACTACAAGCTCAAATAGGGTGTGTGTGTGATAAAATGAGTATAAACAAAATCTAACTCAATTAGCAAAACTAGCAATGATGATAATATGCAAATCAAAAATAAATTGCTAGAGAAAAGAGTTAGGAAAACTTCTCTATAAACATAATAGAGGTTGAAGAAGATTGAGGATGAATTCCTCAATTGAAAATACAAGCCTCCTCTTTGTAAACTCAAACTTAGAAACTTAAACAAACTTTAAAACTCGTTAAACTCTTTTTTAAAACCCTTTTGGATGGATATTCTGATGAGAACAATAGGGGTTTATATAGGACGAAAAACCAAGGCACAAAACCCAAGCAAAACCAGCAAAAATGATAAAATAACAAAGGCTAGAAATATAGCCGTTATGGCTTATCAATCGACTGACGAAAATCATCAGTCGACTGATAAGCTCACCGTTGTAGGCGTCAGACAGCTCATCAATCGACTGACTATCTTTATCAGTTGACTGGTCAGTCAATCAAAACAGAAAAGAAACTTTTAAAGATTGCAGGCACATTCTTCATTCAACTGATCAGTCGACTGATAACAGGTTATCAGCCTGAAACGGTTTTTCAAGTTGAATTTCAAGGCTCACTAAAAAATAGCAAATAAATTCTAAAAAATGTAAAACTTTGGAAAAAGTTTATAATCATGAATATGAACATGTTGGAAAAAGAATTTTTCAATTTGCTCTTACCATTTGTGAAAACACAGAAATATTCAAAAGTGTTAAAATACATGTTTTTCAAATATGTTAGATTTTGTCATTTTAGCTCAAATCAAGTTCTGGAAACTTGTGTAATCTTTTTATGGACATAATAAAAGATGTTAGCATGGTTTATATAGTCCAAAACATATTTGAATGTATTTTGCATTTTTATGGACATAATAAAAGATGTTAGCATGGTTTATATAGTCCAAAACATATTTGAATGTATTTTGCATAAAAACACCTATTTTTATGAAAATTCATAAATGTAATGTGTGTGTATATTTGAGCTTATAGAATTAACACATTATATAATCCTATACTAAGTATACCAAGAAAGAATCTTCTGAAGCTTGGATTTGGATTGATTGACTTGATATGCATAGCTTCAATATATCTTGTTTAGCTCGATTTCCTGTATATACTAAACAACACAAAACAAAATACTGAAAACAATATTAGTTGTAAATTGTTTGTAAAATCATTATCAAAACAAGAGGACCCAACAGTTCCTTCTGATTGTGTAGACAACAAGTGAGACCAACAAAGCAAATCGTGAAGGTCAAGAATATGTACACACGATGGGGTCAATAAGTTTTGCCAAGATTCGCAAAAAGTTGGTATTTCAATTGTTTTTGTTTAATATTATTTATTAATTGCATCCTTTCTTTTTGTTCGTTGTTAATGTATTTATTAATATTTTAACTATCATGTCTTTATTATAGGAAAATGAGTTGGGAAGACCTCCAAGTGAAGCTGAAATGTTTATTGAGACCCGTAAAAAGAAGATAAAACCACAAGGAGAGAAAACAATCAATTTGATAGTAAGTATATGCCATATCAACTAAATATTAATATTCATATATTGCTTTTTAGGTCCTAATTTTCATATAACATGCATATCAACTAAATATAAATTTTGCTAATGCAGAGTGCTTTAGAAGAACTCAAATCTCAAGATGAAGTTGATGATGCATGGGATTTAGTCAAAAAAGATGAACATCCTGGACGTGTACATCTTATGGAGAGGGGTGTCACTAAAACCATGCTCCAGAATAAAAATAAAAAGATCGTGGATATTGAGCAAGTTCCAGAATATGCTGTTCAAACTATATCACAAAAAGTTGAACAAGAGTTGACAAAAAAATTTGAGGCGCAGAAGGCAGATTTGGTTCATGGTTTCGCCGAGCTCTTGACTGAAACACTTGGGCAAACAATTGATCCGGCAGCTATTGCAAGACTTGTTGCACGCACAAGATCACCTGAGGAAGGTAATAGTGCTCGAAATCATGATCGTCCTCGCTCATCTGGAAGCAGCCATCATCCACGAAATGAGGTAGTTTTTTCTTTTGTTATATCTGACAATTCCTTATTCCTTTTTATAAGAGTTTTTCCTCATCTTCTGATGATTATATGGTGTTTTATTGATGCTATTGATGATTAACTTTTGATCAAGATTCATCCTCTTTTATTATTCACCTCAGCTTGCATCAATATGTTATTCATAATGGCCACTAGTCTTGGTAAATTCATGCTAATCTTTTTATCTCAATTTATGCAGGAAAATTAATGATGCCTACTACAGAAAAGATCCGTGCTTATCGCTTATTGTGAGTTTCGTTTGTTCTAATGATTGAAAAAGAGCTTATTAATATCAAGGTACTTTTCAATTAAGCGATGAACAGGTCTTTTGCGTTTTAATAATGGAGGAATATAGATTTGTATTTTGGACATAAGCAAAAAAGTTCCTTCTGTTAATGAATTGTTGCAATATCATTCTTCTTTTTAAGGTTCCTTCTGTTAAGTTTAAGATTTCGGTGGGGTTGTTTGTAAACATTGGAGTTTATAATTTCTCTGTTTGCATATATTACAACAACAGATAAATGTCGCTACGACCATATATGTGTAGCATTTGATTTTTACTGTAGCCCTTTGCTATGTGTAAAATTTGACTCACCATTGTAACTATGCAAGCATTGTCATAGCGTAAAACCAAAAACTATTTCCACTGCTGTATAAGCGTTGACATTGCTCCAAAATCTAAAACCGTCACTTTTGCTAGATAATTGTCCCCATTGCTCAAAAGTAAAAGCCGTTCCCCTTGCTATCAAACCGTTCCCCTTGCTTAGAACCTAAAAACTGTTCCCCTTGCTATCAAACCGTTCCCGTTGCTTAGAACCTAAAAACCGTTCCCCTTGATATACAACCATTCCACTTGCATAAAACTAAGAACCGACCCCTTAGCACAACCGTTCCCTTATGGTACCAATGATGATAGTTTACAAATCGTTCCCCTAGGATCATAAACCGTCCCATTAGACGGCCTAAGAGCACGGCTGTAAACGAGACGAATGTTGAACCGTCCCCATAGATGTAAGGCAACGGTTTTTATGCCTAGTGTGACGGTTCACAACCGTCCCCATAGACCTCAAATGTGGTAGTGGGCTGAAGCACATGAAGGTATTGTTTTTGGGATCTTGACACAATTTTCACTTTTTTTCATAAATGGTTTATGACCATGTGCAGCTCGGGAGGATTTAAGTTCCCGTCAACATGAAGTATATGGATGGCACCTTGTCAACATCATCATTTCTTCTGATAGCACTACAATGACAAATTCGCTGCAATATATACTAGCTAACATAAGAGAGGATAGCTCTCATGAGCGACGTGAAGCTGACACGCTCACAAGTTGGTCAAAACCACTCTTTAAACCTCACGCCTACCCAGTATCCTGGCATGAGCTTAATAAATTAAGCTGCTATTGTCAACATCGCGTTTGATGCCTGGTATAATCGAGCTAGCCTTGCACCAGAAAGGTTTTTCAGCTAATAAATAAACCCCAGTTTAACACTTTTAACCTCTCGGTTGATGAGTTAAGCTCGTGCCGTAACCACGGTGGCTCTCAAGTTAACCTCGCTCCAAGATATTTGCATTGGATATTCATCTCGCGCTGGCACCAAATTAAGTTGGTTATCCTAACAAGCTTTGCTCAAAACTCAGCTTTTTAATCTGTTATTATCAGAGTTTTACTTGTCATTTGGAGGTGACCCCACTCTGACAAGATGAGTTCCCCATCGAAGGAGCTCCCTTCAACTTCAAACTCGAATGCAACTAGATCTAGTATAGTATGAACTAACGACCAGAACATATATGAATAGTGCTTATAAAGAACAAACTTCAATAACAATGATATGCAGGCGGTCAATGGAGTAAAGAACACAATCTCCTCTCCCTTGATGCATTAATTTCTCCATAATTAAACCTTGTAATTTTTATTTTCAAGTCACAACAAAAAAGAACAATATAAACTCTATTTTTTGTTAACTTCTTTTGACAAGAAAAATATAAAGCAGTGACCGAGAAATTGTGACAGCTAATAATTTAATATTTGGCCTCTCTCAGAGGGTTAGGTTTTTGCGTAGCTAGGTACAACTTATGGGTATGATGTGTGGTGCATACAAATTTTTTTTGGGGTCATGTTTTATTCCGTTTTGTAAATAAAACTTATATTTCATATATATAACCTGTTTTTTAACGGAGTCTTGCCCTTTTTCCCCCTTCCTTGGTAGGTGCGGAAGTAGGATGTACTCCCAAAAACAAACAGATACACTAGTATTTATGCAGTAAATGAAATTTTCTCTGTTCTAAATAGGTAAGCAAGCAACACAGAATCTTTAAAAAAAATGTTGGAATTCCAATTTGATATGTACCCAAAATTACAATGAATTGGCCAATCAAATAAAATTCCCTCTATATTCTCCACACACTATAAACAAACTATACCCTTCTTCACAAGTATATTATGTTTCATCTACCCTCCAATCTCCAATTAAAACGGTTAAACAAGTATAAATCAATAAAAGCAAATAAAATTAAAAAGGGAAAGAAAACCTGCCACCAATCTCTGAGCTCCCATCCGGCCGATCAATGGCGACAACAAGCAACGATATAGTGATCGCAATCAACCCCGACCAAACAAACACGATGGTTGGAGTCCTCCCTCTCCTCCCCATCAATCCCTTCGCAAAAGGATACAGGTGAGCCAACACCCAGAAACTGAAGAAGACTCCCCCAAGCAGCCTACTCCACTGCGGCAACGGACTATAGATTGTTTGACTTATGCCAACTGCGATCCCAATGAGGTTCACCATCATGATCGTTATCGGTGGTATCATCAGTGATGTCCATTTCACGGTATAGAGGTCTGCAAACTCATCGTTAACGTCATCACCTCCTGATTTCGAGGTTAAGGTGAATGAGATTTCGATACCAGCAATAACTTTCAGCAGTCCTTGGAGCACCGCGGCTATATGTGCACTTGTCCCTCCAATGAGCCAAAACTGTTCGTTTCGCCACCACTCTTCTAACTCGATCCCTGACCATTTGATCTCAAGCACCGCCAATAAGCAAAGGGTTACCGTTATAGTGAGAAGGTATGTAAGGAACGTCACGTTGAGTGTCTGCACGATGAATTGCCCAGAGAAGAGGGAGAGCGCTGGGAGGAAACAGTAGACAATGAGAAAGATGGAGGTGAATGGATAGATACCGACATTGAGATATGCTATCCTTTGGAGAAGCTTCATCTTTGGGCTCGCGAAGAATGCATTGTTTCTTGAGAAGAAGATTTCAACAGAACCCGTCGCCCACCGCAGAACCTGGTGGAGCCTATCAGTGAGGTTGATCGGAGCAGTTCCACGGAAAGCGTCTCGTTTTGTCACGCAATACACAGACTTCCAACCTCGGTTATGCATTCTGTATCCCGTTACGACATCCTCGGTGACTGAGCCATATATCCATCCAACACGATTTCCCCACTCTGTTTTATCCTCGTACCAGCAGGAGATCACGCTGATCGCCTCTGCAACAGTGGAGGCGTCGAGCAGGTCTCGGGGAATGGTGAGGGCGCCAGGAGGCCGACCGTACTTGACAGATGGATGGTCAGCGAGTGGCCGGCCCTGAAACTCAGCAACTGGCATTGAATCTATTAGAAAGCTCGAGTTACCAAACTTTTTGGGAAACGATGATACATTCATCTCTTCTTCTTCTTCGTCCCCCATCCTCAGAGACCGGGACTCCTCAGAGGCAGCGGCGACCTTACGCTTTCTTCTTGGAAAGCAACATCCGCAGCAACCCGATGGGTGTTCTTTATGATCACGAGGGGGGTCAAAGCCGTAGAGAGCAATTCGACGGAAGAGGCAACCGGTGCCAACATAAACAGGGCCTTGAAGGCCGTCAAGTGCACGCATGTTAACATCAAAGAAGACAGTGTTGTGATTGGCGTAACGGTCTGAGGGGTCAATTCCTTCAAACCTCTGGGGGAACTGGACATAGCAGAGACGATCACCTCCACGGTCCATCATGAAGCAAATGCCTTCACGGAGAGCCTGAGAGTTGTAGACATAGTGATCACAGTCGAGGTTGAGGATGAAGGGACCATTGGACATGATTGCAGAGGCTCGAACAAGGGCATTCATGGCACCGGCCTTCTTGTTGTGGTCATAGCCTGGACGTTTTTCGCGAGAGACATAGACAAGCATGGGAAGGCGTATGTCAATCTCAGTGAGGTCAATGATGCCTTTTTCGTCTTCGGGATTGTTGGTTCCGTATAAGGGCTCGTCACTTGGAGGCTTCAGCATCACCTGAAAGCAAAACCTGGTTACTACAGAACTGAAGGAATGGACAATAACATTGAAATTCTGAAACACGATATTGATCAAGAAAGAAAATTATCACTGTGAAAGAAACGATTTTAGACAAATTGCTACCTCAATAGGTAAATATAGGCCAAAAAGCAAATTGAAGGATGGACTAACTTAGTTATCGTAAGGGAGTAGATTATAAGCTCAAAGGTGGAATAAAGGTTAAATTTATGAAAGAAAAAGAGTAAATGCGTTCCAAATTACTTTGGTTTGGCGGGAAGAAAGTAGTTCAAATATTATTTATATGCCCAGGCAAGTACCAAATACTTACTTTAGAGTTTCAATAATTCTTCTTAAATAAATGAAAAGTAAGAGCTGAAGACTTTTAAATCAGTAAAGATTTTTCAGATTTTCTGAACTGGCAACCAAATACTTACACCAAGACTAGTATCAAAGAAAATAACAGGTAAAAGCAAACATTTTTACCATAAAAAGAAAAAGAAAAAAGAAAAAAAAACTCTAGACTACTGAAGGAAACCTGACACATGGATATTTAGAAAGATAAAATAGAATATAACCAAGTAGTTACCTGTATGATCCCAGAGTGATCACCCTTAAAATGCTCAGTCGAGGGATTAACCCAGGTTCCAGGCCAATGAGTACCATCAGCCATCCAAGTTGCTTTCGGAATCTTAACAGGCTCTACAGGTTCATTTCCAGCTTTCTCCCTCTGCAAATTCATAGCCTTAATCTCCTCTCGAGCATGGTATGCATCTGAGCGCCGTCTAATAGAATCTGGCAGCCCATTTATCCTAACCTTGAACTCATCATACTCTCGTTTCACCCTTCTCCTGTCTTTAACAAAATCTGGCTTCACCTTATTCTTGTACGGATCCCTTTTCAAGCTGAAGTAGCTCTCAGGGTTTCTAGGCTCAATATTGTGCTTCCGACAAAAAGGGACCCACAAGTAAGCAAAGCTAGCAGCTTCAGCCATTGCTTCAAATGTCAAGAGAGCACCGCCATCATCTGAAACATAGCAAGAGAGCTTCTCAACTGGGTAATCTGCAGCAAGGATGGACAGTATAGTGTTAGCAGTAACAAGTGGAGGCTCTTTCTCTGGGTCGGCTGTGGACACAAAGATGTCTATGCCTGGGAGATCGGATTTTCCAGTGGGATTGCTCAGGTTTGGAGTCTCGAATTTTTCCTTAAGTACTGTGAGGTCAGTAGCGCGGTTCACTGGGCAGAGCTTGGGGAGTTGGTCGAGAAGCCAAGAGAAGGCGAACCAGAGCTCACAGACTACAGACATGCCCCATAGCCAGATTGCGTCTTGGTTCTTGTTTCGAATACGCCAATCGAGGAATAGGCCAAGGACAACCATGCGGATGACAATGAGGAGCCTAAATAATAGTAGAGAAGGAAGCAGAATTTAGTTTTGTATAGGAGATACAAAAAATTCTTTCTTTACAAAAGTAGACATGATCGCCACAGTATAAATCAGTAGAAGTGATGCTTACTATATACAATTCAGAAAATTTTAAGTAATCACTGAAGAAAGGCCAAGTATTTCTACACTGCAATTTGCAAAGCAAACCACTTGCATGTTAAAGAAAACATGTAAAATACAATACATCCTTCTCCATTCTGAATATTACAATTGATAAAGATGTGACATACATTTTTGTGCCTTCAAGAAACAGGGGAAAAGTTTTGTACTTTAGTAAATTATTCTGTCTAAACTCTATAATGGACAATGAAGAATCAGCTAAGATTCAGAATAAGATAATGTGTATGTGTATACAAATAATGCAAGGACCCACACTCTCATAACAGTTCCCAACTATATCACTCAAGACATCAGTTTGTGGACAGGGTGCCTGATACCAATTAGAACCTGAACATGTTGAAATCCACATGCAACAAACAGAACAGGAAAAAAGAAAATCCTTCCTACTGCTATTGCATATGCTCTCTAACACGTTTAACACAAAACTAAACGAGCTTAAGGAATGTTCAGTGATGCCAACGTATAGGCTAGATGAAAAAGAATTGAGATACTCCAGTAGAAAGACATTTACATAGGAAGAAAATATCAAGTCCTCGAGGTATAAGACATTATCTATTTGTATTAAATGTGATATTGAATTTTATCAAAACAATATATTATCAAGAAATTTGATTTTAAACACATTCATTTATGTAAAGATTGTTAATTCAAATATCATTCTACTGGAAATTACTACTTCAGCAGTTATCAGATTTTGACTTAGTGAAACTTAATTTGGACATTGACAAGTGGTTAAAATAATGTGCCAAGCCATTGCCAATTGTCCTCACATAGTTTTTGGGATATTTCAGTTAGTTTTAACACAGGCGTAAGAGTCTGATGCATTCAATCTAAAGCCATCATAACTACGAAACCAGCAATACAAATTACTCAGAGAGCTGCCTAATAATACAGATATAGATACCGATATTTCAAGCCTTGCCCATACGAAATAATATGGCATAAATACAAAAAAATTATAACTCGGGTATAACAAATCCGTTTTCCATATGTAAGCAAAACAAAGGCCACCACTTTTAGTCAAAGAAAAAATGTTCTTCAGACAATCAACAGGCCCCCCCAGATTTATGAATGTTTCCTTAGTAAAATGGTTATTTGATAATCAACCAATATCATTAATTATTTACTCAAACCAATTCAAACATCCTCAAGTTACCTATAAAAGATTCATCAAGTGGATAACAACTGTTTCAAATAACTGAAAGCTACTGGTAGATGATATCATTTACTTATGTTACGATAGCTACACTTTATTGACTTCAAGCCTTCCCTTTGGCCCACAGACTACAGATCATACAACATCTCTTTTCTTTTCTTTCTTTTCTTTTCTTTTCCCCCCATAGATTCATATATTCTGGCATCCTATCACTTATATTACTAGATTTCTGAGATTTAGAATATATGTTCTTCTCCTAGTGATTAACAGGTTTACTAGTTTATTTACCTATAATTAAACACAATTGACGAGGGAAAAAAGCAGTGATTTACCTATAAGGACTCAAGACTGCTGCCCGGATCTTCAACTTTCTAGTGAGAGGCCTCCATGGCTTAGCAATCAACTCCTTCCTCTGCTCACTCCCTCCATCTCCACTCCTCTCATCACCATCGTCATTTGCTGCAGGCCAAAATGCATTCCCGTACCCATAAGTCCCCTTTGTCTCAAACAACCACTTATTATGATCAAAATCATACTTCGTGGACTTCATCATCGACAACCTCCTCTCCATCTTCGCCCCCGACAAAGAAAGAGCCTTAGCGTTCCCATCCTTCCCCAAAACCTCATCCAAATCAGTCGAACGATACTGCTCCTTACACCCAGGACAAATCCCTCCACCAGTCTTAACGGCATCAGTGAAGCAATCAACACAAATCTTGAAATCACATTCACAAGGTAGAATATCTTCTCCTCTCTCATCACTCATAATCTTCTGATCACATCCATGCACTGAACAAGATGACCCCTTTGTCCCTGCCATCTGAGGATGGGAATTGGTATCAGACTCGGTGACTTTATCCATCAAATGGGCTCGAGTGACGTTGTTGAATCCACCAGTGAATAAAGAATTCGAGACATATTGTTCCTCAACACGGGCAGTGATGGAAGAGTCCATAGGGACTATATCAGTTCGGCCTGTGGATTGGCGATCGGGGGTCATGGGGATGTGAACATGGTAATTTGAGAACTCAGCGGAGGAGAGCTCGCTCTCGAGGTCATCTCGGGAGTAGCTTATGTATCGTCCTGAGAGTGTTCGGCGGCCAAAAGTGACGGTTGGAGGTGGAGGAGCTGGTGGCTTGCCGATGTCAATGGAGGAGTCAGGGACATGTTTGAGTTGCCGGCTGCCTTTGAGAAATTTGGAAGCCATGATTTGCTTCTTTTTCTTGGTGAGGGTTGAAGTTGTAGTGTATAGGATCTAAAAAGTAGTCAGATGATTTTCCAAGAATCAGAAATTTTATTGGGTTTTGGAGTGAATAAAGGATAGAAGAAATAGGCAATATACAAAAGGAAAGAGAATCTCTCAAATTTGAGTTCATGATTACAATTAAATATATTGGAGGCAGAAAATCAAGCAAGAAAAAGAGAGATTTTTTACCTTATTTCGATTATTTACTTCTTATTACCTTAAATTTTCTGCTATAAAATCTACTGAACATGCAAAAGTTACTCCAAAAATACACTAAAAATTACGATAATTTTTGAAAGAGAGCACGAACTCAGAGGCTCTAGAGCCAAAATTAAACAGCATTACTGAAAGGAAAAAATAGCAAAAAAGATCTTTTTTCCATAAATTATGACGGGAGAAAAGAATAGAAACACAAAAAACCCAAAATAGAAATCCAGATATATCAAAAAAAATCATAATGAAGCATATGAGTCTTTCCAAAATCAACCAAAAATTGAAAAAAGAAAGTTATCAACGGCAAGACATCAAAATTGAAGAACCAAATTAATCAGCATTACTGTAAGAAGAAACAGTAAAAGACTCATCTTTCTCCTAAAATTTGACAGCAAAGGGTAACTAACCTCAGCAGAGAAATTCCGATGCTAACTCCGAAGAAAGCATGGGTCTTTTCAATTCGAAGGCAGCGAAGCGAGTTAAATTGAGAACAGTTTCATATTTAAATAAGGAAACAACCGCTTCTCCACTGAATGAAGACTCTGTCTCCTTTTAAAACCCAAAAACTCTCCAATTCCTGTCGTTGTTGTCTGAAGTTTTCAAACCACGAGTTACGATGAGGACACAGAGACCAATTCCAAACTTCAAAAGAAAAAAAATCCCCAAACACGCCAAGAACCGATTTTTAAATGCTAGTGCTCGTCTCCAATGACGATTTCTACGAGGGCCTCGCCCAAATTGATGCCGGCAATCCAATTGGAGCCTCTCTCTCAATTCGTAGAACTTGTCGTTAAATTAGGGTTCGGAAGATTGAGGAGGAAGGAGGTGGAGCGGCATTAATGGCAATTTTCCTTCTTTTTTTTTTAATCTATTAAGGGATATTTTTTTCGAAAAAGGGAAGACGAGAAGGCGAGATCAGCGGGAAGAAACAGAGAGAGTGGCCGTCTATATATCGTAAGATGACGTGGCGGGCGGTCTACTTTCTCGCTCCCTCTCGAGCTGGATTATTGCTGGTTGGTCTCGCCGCGGTTGCCCGGACCAAAAATCTACTGTTTACTGAAATGCCCTTGTTTTTTTACTAGAATTGCAGACCGTGGTCTTAGACCAAAACGAGCAAAATTGAACCATGTAATACCGGGAGTTAGTGTGAAAAAGTGATTAAAAATGATGGTTCAAATATTTAGTTTAGAAATATGTAGCGTATCTAATCACTAAAAAAATATAGTAAGTTATATTAAGAATTACTGGGAGTTTAAGAATAAAAAAAGGATAAAACTTTGGGTTTGTAGTCAAAAAAATCTTCTGTAAGTTTATTAGCTTTAAAATAAAATTGAGATAAAACATTTGTGTTCCTAGGTAAAAAAAAACATAGTAAGACCTTAAAGTGGGTGTGCTTAGGAATTACTGGGGGTAACTTTTTTAGTTTTAAGTGAAAAAACAACTCTAGAAGTGAATGTGTTTGAAAATAAATAAGGATAAAACTTAAGTTTTGTAGGCAAAACGATCCCATATACTCAAGTTTTATGGTCGCCATAGATATCTCAAAAACTCTACGAAAATAGGTGGGCTTAAGAATAAATAAGATAAAACTTTGGGTTTATAGACAAGGTATTTAATTTTAGAAGTCGGTGGGCTTAACATAAATAAGGGTAAGCTTTTGGATTTATAGGAAAAATACCCCAGTTATGAAATATTTGAGTATAATAACAAAGGTTTATTATGTAAAAAGTTGAAAGAAGGAGATTTACTAAGTAAAATAACCTGGTCCATACGTGCTTAGAATTAACTGCATCTGTATTTTGGAAGGAGAAAGGCCAATACGCCACAGAGAAAAAGAAAAATCAGTTTTTTGCCATGGAATAAAACCAAGTGACGAACAGGGGGATTCAAACTGGCGACTTCCGTTTAGAGATACAACTTTCTGACAAGTCAGAGCTAAGTAATGTTTATTCTTTTTCACTTTAATATATAGTATAATATAATTTTATCCTCGTATTCTATAAAATTTCAAGATTAACAGAGCTGAGTCCATAGCTATCGACAAATGCTACTCTTAATTATTCCTCATTTTAAGTGTCCTCATGTATGCGAGGAGATTAGTTAAGTTTAGATTGGACGTTTGTCTAATTAGTTGTTTACTTGATAATTTGTTGGGTTTTTTCTCTTAGAAACCACCTTCACAATAAAGTAATTATATAGAAATCACCTTTTATTTTTAATTTATATATATATTATTTTTAAATATTATTTCCATATAATTACCTATTTCTAAGGTGGTTTCTAGGGGGGAAATCCTAATTTGTTTGCTTTGTTGTGTTTTTTACCAAATTCTCGTGTTGTAAAAAGTAAAATGTGAATTTGGAACATTTTACAGTTGCTTAGCAGCATATGATCTTAGACAAAGGAAAAAATAATCAGGACAATAGCATGCATCCATTTTTATGACTTTTTGAGTTGTTAAGTGAGTTTATGCCTCTGTCAAAGATATAAGTCTTGCCAAATCATATAGTGAGTTCATGTTTCTTTTTTATTTTTTCCTTTTTTTTCAATTTGCTATTGGAGTCATAGCAATTCATAAAATTTAATATTCTTTATTCAGAAAGTTATAAAAACATCTAAATAAATTGAACAAACAAACTCTATGAAACTAAAATCAACACAAATACAAATTAGATTTGCAATTTCACGAATCGAAACTTTTGCACTCAATGGCATTCTCGTAGATATTTGCAATCTTAGGCCCCTTACGGCATGAGAATGTTTGTCAGCACGCAGACAGCTTATTAAAGAGACGACGTTCAAGCGAGAGGCAAGCGCCGCGACGGCGGAACACGCGTGCCACGTGGCAGGAGGACGTGAGACGCGCTGTCGTGCTCGCAACTCGAACGCACGAAAAAGGAGCGCAGTCGCAAGAATCACGAGGTGGGCAAATGATTTCTGTGGGGGCCACAGAACTTCGGGTGCTGAAGTGTGGGGTCCACCATCTAATACTACGTGCATCGGCGGTGTCGAAGACGAGCACCGCTGCATGTTCGTTCGTTTGTATTGACCAACGATCCGCTCACGTCTCCCTCATTGATCATTCCAATTGTCACTCACCAACTTCCAAGTTTATTTTGTTAGGCACAGCCATAACTATATGTTAGGGGGTGTTTGGCAATTTGAAAGTGAATTTAAAATATGTAAGTTATTTTTTTTTACAAATGACTTTTACATCCATGTCAGCACGCAAGTGAAATACAATGTTTGTTTAAAAAATTAAATTATTATTGAAAGTACAATGTGAAGATGACGTGGCAAAATAAGATTAATTAGAAAATATAATTAAAATCATTTAATTAAATTACTTACCTTTTTGTCACTTTCATGTGACTTCACCACTTTTTTAGGGGAAGTCAAAATTGTATTAAATCTTATGTGGCAACTTTCTTACATCTCACTTTCATAACCACTTACATGAAAACAAACACCTTAATTGTTAAATGAAAGTAACCTTCTCACTTTCATCTTTCACTTGCATGCAAACAAACACCCCCTTAATGTTAAAGTAAGGGAAAATACACTATTTGGTGCTTGGAATTTTCTGTTTAGATTGTTCATAAAATTAAATGAGAACATCCAGGAACAAATCCAACTGTCTGGGTCTGAAATTCTTTTGTTTGTTTTTTATTTTTATTTTTATGGAAAAAGGACAATGTCTAAACTTGAACATGTATTTCTAATCTCATCAACTTAAAACATTTTTGAATTAGTCTCGTTGTTCTTATGAATCTTCTCTCTGTACATGTGATTGAGACAACTACTCTATTTTATATTTTTATAATAGAGGATAATGAATATCATATCACGTATAAGAAGATTTTCCCATATATGATAGTATGGTTGATCTTTATCATAATTTCGGAATTTTAGCATAGTAGCAGGGTCTTTTGATACCCTCTTTATTCATTTGGTTGTCAATCAGCTGTATCACGGTGTATAAGAGAAATCTTCATATATAATTTGATACTCATTATCCTCTTCTTAATACATTAGATAAGTTATATAATTAAGAATTCTATATCTTTTTTATAAATATACATGCTAACTATACAAACCATATTCCATATTTGTGATGAATAATATTTCCAGTGCTTTATGCATACTAAAATTTATGGGGATAAAAAATAATTTGTATTTAAATAAAGGAAAAAATGTGTCAAGGTCCAAAAAAATAAAATGGTTGTGACCAGGCCCCTCATATTATTTTGTGTGATAAAGCCCCCAATACATGAAATAATTATGTTTTAGTCCATATTTATCTTTCAGGACAGCACAAGAAGAAACTATTTACCTAAACTATAATTAAAATGCACATGCCTGCCCTCTCTCTCCTCTCCTCTCTCTCTCTCTCTCTCTCTCTCTTCTTCTCTCCTCTCTCTACTCCTCTCTCTCTCTCTCTCTCTCTCTCTTCTCACGCCTCAAAATTCCTCAAACCTTCCGCCATTTTTTTTTTCTTCGAGCAACCCAAGAATTTGAAACGCTAGTTTCACTCAAACGTTCAGTAAACCATCAAAAAAAAATTCTAAACCCTAATGTGGGAGAAGGAAATAGCCCCCCCGCCCCCCCCACCGAAAGTCATCACCAAAAATAACCAATTTTCCCAAAAATTTCATAAATTTTGAATTTTGATTCAAATTTCCTTCTCAAAATCAACAATGAGGGGTTCGAAGAGGCCGCTGAGTCTAATAGCGGAATGGTTCTGCCGGCAACCGGCAAAGGTGAAGGCGTTCCTTGGCGTCGCCGTCGGAATCACCGCCCTCGTCTTCATCTGATCCGTCGTTGGAGACTACAACAACTTCTTCGTCGCCGCCGAGGTCAGTCACGCCGCCGGAATCTTGCTTCTCATTTACAAGCTCACAAAGGAGAAGACTTGAGTTGGTTTGTCTTAATTTTGATTTGGTTGCATTTGGTTAATGATTGTGATTTCAACAGGAATAATAAATTTAAGGATTTTTTATGTTACTATTCTAGAAAATTTTGATGCCACCAAGAACTAAACGCATGAAAAGGGGTTGATATCAATAAGGATTAATTCTATGCATGTGAAGCATCCCAATTAGATAATTGTCAGTTTTGATGAGAAACTTGTTTAGCATTCCTTAGAATTTGTAATGCTAACTGTTGGTGACTTGAGAAAGTCACATTTTCTATATAATGTACATTACTCTCTCCAACTTTAGATCTTAATTCTATCCTCATGTGAAGGGAATTTTCGGGTCTTGTCGTTGGAGAAGTTGGAGGCTGATGATTATTCAAACTATGTATAAATTTGTATATCAATGTTTGGTTGGATGTTGAAGTCGTCCCTTGCGAGCAACAATCTGGAATATTAGTATTTCATAAATTTAATCCTTTTCATTTTATCCGGCATCATATATATAACTAGCTTGCTATTTTATATCATGCAGTTTTGATTGTGGAATTTTTGTTTCCTTATATACGAAGGCTATAATTTGTGGGGTTGATACGATTCAAGTAACTACTCCTGATGGCGAGTCTGATGTCATATGTGTCAGGCTTGCAGCTCAACTTCTAATAGAATGATGAGAACAGAAAAAGCAAGAAGAGACATTAGATAAGGATGAGAGAAAGTTGTTCTAAAAATTAATTGATTGAACAGACAATGATGAAAACAAAACTTGTGTGCATGTTTATATTGTATATATTAATTTAGTTGTGTAAACAGTTAGTGTGGATGATAAACTTCGCAGCAAGCTTGACCTTTCTTGTTGTTATTGTATTTCTGATATTTTTACCATCATATATCTATGTTTTGTTTTGATGCAACATATATTTAACAGGTTCAAATGAAAAAAATTACATGTTCACCTGAATGTCAGCCAATACTTAACATGTACGTCCGACAAGTTAACATATTCCGCTAAAAGTTAACATGTTATGAAGAAAGCTGACATAA